CTTGCCAAGTTCCAAACCTGCGGTTATCAAATCCAACCGATCAGAACATGAGCGATACCCAATCCCGCCCAGGCAAATTAACTCGTTAAAAATGCCATGATCTTGTCGCCACGAAAGCGGCAAGATGGCTTGTGCCAGGAAAATAATATGTTTCCACGAAAGCATCTATAAAAGCACGATACACCTCGCATTACTAATATCTTAGTCGAATTATTGGTGGCAATCATTAATCACCTATCATTTGATAATGCTTCTCAAGCCGTTTGCATCAAATGAATGTGTACGCGTTTGCCTAAATTATTCAGTACCTTTACATGGCAGGAAAGAAAGCAGTGCTCAAAAACACAAATTCCTTTTTTGCCCTAAACGTGTAGTGAGATGGCCAGCCGCTTATTAATCCGTCCACTTAACAAATCCAAAGCCTTGGTTATCAAATCCGCCTGATTAGGTTGATGATGATTTGGAGTTTTTAGGGCGCGTCGACATCAAAGGGTCATATTGCACCCATGAGCCAGCATGTAATCCTGCCCAGGCACATTAAGGGTTCAAAATATCAAGGTTTTAACATTCTCAAGAAGCGGCCGTGAGACAAGTTCCGGAAAATGAACTGTTTCCGTTAACAGCATCTATGAAAGCACCATACACAATTGCAACACCGATATCTCAGTCGAGTTGATGGTGGAAACCATCCATAACGACCATTTGATTAACCTTTCTAGCTGCTTGCATGAAATGAATACACACGCTCTTGACCAGATTACACAGCATTCATTTACGGGTGGAAGAAAAAATGCTCAAAGCCAGGCCATGTTTTTCAAGCGAAGTCGAGTTGTAGGGAATCGTGCAATCTGATGCAACAACAAAGTGTTTGACGAAGCCATACATCATACAGATGCTTTCTTAGGCAACACAAATATTAAATGAGCAAATGACGTTGATCTAAGGTCAGGTGTAAATGTCAGACCAAAATCAAACCAGCCTCTTTTAATTCTCTAGGGCTTGCTATATGGGATCGTTTCTGGTGCTCATTTCGAATTGACCGATGGCAGGAACCGCATTATACATCTTCCATGGACTTCTCAGAGGTCAGAATAGGTTATTGACCTAAAACGACTCAGGTCAGCACTTTGTTTTTAGACATACTGTCTGACGTAATCTTTGTCGCCCATTCAAATGCAAAACTCAGAGCAGTCTTGTATGATATTGGTCACCATGACCTTGAAAAGGTCAAAAAGGTCACTCACTTTAAATGAGCGTGTGACCTTTTGCTCAGAAACAGTTATCTAGGTTCTGGAGGCGCTTTGGAAACCAACCCGGAATTTGAGCTTGTTTGACCTTATTTTACCCAAAGGTCATGACCTAGGAAGCTCAAACTTTGACCTAAGTGAGTTCACGTACAGGTCAACACACTCTGCAAATTTGGTATCTCTAGCTTTCTTAGTACCCGAGATCTCAGGGGAGTCACATGGACCCCCACCCGAGCGAAGGATATCTAATCGGCCACCCGGGCGCGTGTTAAATTCGCTGCTTGATAAATCCAGATATCTACGTGAAGAAATGGATTTATTAACTGGAGTCTACTGTACCACATTTCGGTGTTATCGTCTCACATTACGTTCAAACATCCCGAAGGTGGGTCGGCGATCACTGTTCAGGGAGGCATACCAGCGCGATATCCAGACCAGGAAGCTCGTACGTCTTCTGGTGATGTCATGGAGCTGCTTCATCGAGCGTCTGATCCAGTTCTTCAAGCCTCTGAGGGTGCTGAAGCTCCGCTGTGGTGCTGCGCTGCTGGCTGTAACTGCGACCAGTAGATAAAGAAGTCACTTGGTGGAACGTTCCCACGCTCTCCTTCTACTTCACCGTCAACGTCGCCGTTTCATCAAGCGTGGCGAACTATCCGAGTCGGCGAAAGGTCAGCAGGTCATGGAAAAGTTTTTCGGCGCCCAGGCCTCCGGCCCGCGGGTACTACTTCATAGGGGAAGTCGTCCGAGCTCGATCAGGTGGATCCAGAAGGAGTCGCTCCATCTTTCATGCCCGTCAAGTTAGAATCACATTCGTAATCGTGATCTAGGAAGGCTGCTTTTGGAAATATAAACTATACTCTAAATTCGAATACAAATACGACAGTCACTCGACGAGCATGAAAGAACGATGAAAGGAGGCGATTCTTAGCACGATATGAGTGCATTTCTTTTAGACTATGCCCAAACGACTCTGCACTGGGGACCAGGTGTGCCACGCGACGAGCAGCACGCAAATTGTCGCACCGTTTTGGATGAGTGGCACATACCTAAGGCAGACTACCGGTGATGCAGAATCAGGGTCTGAGTATGTTTAACAACTGTACAGTGAGTACCTCATTTTGCGACCGACGCAAACAGACCCAAGTGACAGAGTTGCTGTCCCCATTTGGGAACGGAACCGGTGGTGTTGCCAGGGAGTCGCAATATTGTAATGCTGCGGTCCTGCAAAATCATGAAACGCGCAAAAGAACAAACTTTTTCGTCGTTGAACCCTCATTTTTAGACCACCTCTCCGTTCAATCAAGTTCGGGATCGCCCCTTCTCCTATCAAGTTCGGGGTCACCCCGTTTAGGTTGGAAATCCCACAAGTTTCTCGAGAATTGGCGCGTCATCTGGCATGTCCGTAGATCTCATCGCAGCTGCCATTTACTATATTGTATGACTCGATATGTAAACAGCTGAGGTGCCATTGGAAAATTCGTTACATCTGCCCCTACAAACAGGAATGTAGGGTGAAGTAGCAGGAATACAGGGTGCAACAGGAATGTAGGGAGAAGCCGAAGTGCGTTTCGAAAAGACCCACTGCGGTAAACACCGTAGGGAATAAATCTAGGCCATGGTATATAGGCTCGTCGAATTCGCGGGACGCTTGCCTCATGTTTTTCATATCTATTGCTCTAAACAGAGCGTTTCAAGCTTTCGCTGCGTTCATTCCACAAACATTTTATCCCCCAGCACGATCATAACAGAACACACGCGTTGCAAAAGGCAACACAAATTAAATGCGTTGCTTCCATGGTGGTGAGCAGGGGATTCAATGACATTTTTCCGACAGGAACGCCTACTTCAAACCAAAATGTTGAGCTATTCAAAATAATTTCTAGAAAACTGGTGTAACGGACCAAGTTGGACGTGTCTGATCAAACAATACGTGAAAAGGACAAACGATGACACACTCTTGTTAACGCAGATGCGATAACCACTACACTATCGCCACCCTCCATTGTTCACTTCGAGAAGTGCATAATGCAACAGCAATGACAGTAACACTTTCAACTTATAACTTACTTACAACTTCCAGCAACATGCTTTTCAGGCACCAAACCAGGGCAGCAAATATCTACACGAACGCGGATTACGCAATTGTATTGAGGATAACCATATACCGCTTACTTCTATCAAAACGTTTTCGTTGATCTACCTCTCAACATCGACAAAATGACTAAACTTCGATGTTGATGCATCGGATGACTATCGAATTGATATCGGATTGACATCGGATGACATCGGATTGACATCGGATGACATCGGATTCTGCCTGGCCGGACTACCTCAGACACAACAGTGGACCGCAGCACACGACACCGACAGGGAGACGCGCGCCCGAGCAGCACCTCTTACATCCATTCCAAAGACTCATACGCGGAATACGATCCTCGGCGACTGGCCGGTGCCACCGGTGCCATCCCTGAGTGCGTAAGCGTGTCTACAGTGCAACGCACCGCTCGGAGCCGGGACCATCCACCTCACTCTAGGACGTGAACTATCGCCGCACTCAGCTCGCATGCTGACGCCCCGCACCGGGTCGTGGTCAACGGCCACAGCTGACGATAGTAAATCACATTCCCGAGGAATTAACATCGAGGACGCAAATTCCGGTGGCCGGAATTCGGGGAACAGCCAGGTATTTGTGGTAGGTTAGGTAAGCCCTTCCGGTTGGGTCCCCCAACCGAAAGTAGTAAGTGATGCCCCTGTGAAGAGCCCCCAAAACCTCAATGCGTCAGCGCGGCAATTATCACGTCATGTGGGGAAGGACGCTTTGGGACGTCAGGCCCTTACCCAACATTTAACAAATTTAGTACTAGGCTTGCGGCGGTGCATGGGGAGGAGCGACCCCAGTGCCTGTGAGAGCTCTCCAACAGCTCTCCTGCCTCGGTGGAGGGGTAAACGGTGTTTTCACCAGCGTAGATTTGTCGTGGCTCTCCTAAATGCCAGGCCGTACTTTTTCCAAACTAATGCAATGACATATTTCAATTATAAGAACTTTGAACTAGCTTAGAAGATCAGCTTAAGCTCGGCATAATGGCGTATGAAGACTCTGTTTGCGGTAATGCGTCCTCCATGGCGCATTTAAATGCGACGACTGTGAATGCGCCCCCACTACAAACACGGCTCGCATTCATTGCACAATTTCTAGAAAATCTTTAACGAACAGCTCAGAAAAAAGACAAAAATCGTACTAGTTGAAGAGATACTCGTTTTTTATATCGAGACCTTTGTCGCCACCGAGTTGCCAAGCGCGTGCGCTGTAGACGTTTGCTCGTTTGGGCGCAATGTGATCTCTCCAACGGCGTTAAAAGTTTGACGGCCAGGCCGACTTAAAACCGTGTTGTTCGAGTTAGAGTTTCTCCGCCCCTCCAAGTCGCAGTCAGCTATCGACAGAAGTTTCCGAGCGTCAACACGATGATTGACGGTTGTGACTGCCTTCAAAAGCACCTGGTGGATATTTCACCCAGGGAGCTCATGGTTTCATGCAACACGTAGTTCCTGAACCGCTCTATATAAGCGCCTCGCGCTGCACCTGGGACCTCTACCCCGGCGGAAAGCAGTGCCTACTGGGAAGAGCTGGTGATCACCCACGCATACCAGCCGCGCTGGCGCCGTTCGCGTCGCTGAGGCGTGCACAGGCGTCCAAAAGCCGTCCTGCGCAGACCCCTGGCGACGCCGGCCCCGGTCGCCGCGGCGGAGGGACGGCCGGCGGCGTGCAAGGCGGCCAGACCGCCGCACCCAGGGGCAGGTGCAGAGGCGGAGCACACGCTCGTAAGTGGAGGAGCCTGCCGACAACCCGCTGGGGCGGTGTGCATCGCACGGAGCCTGAAGATCAGGTGAGGTCAGGTGGGGCCCTCGTTGGACAAGACAACACCCTTCCACGTGGTGCCCGTGGGGGAGGGGGTGGAGAGAGCAGGGCGCTCTCGAGCAGCGCTCTCCCCAAGCGGCGGCGCCCCTGGCCCGGCCATCTCAGTGGCTCATGGAGACTGCGATACAAATTATAACGGTAGCGATGCCTCGCCTGGGCCACCCATAGCGGAAGCGACATGAGCTGGTCAGATATGACGGCTGTGGAGGGCGTAGTAGATTTTCGTTGGTATGGTAGAACGGCGATGGTATATGCATTCCCTCTCCGCCTGGATTCGGGCTCCTGGTATTGGTTTAGCAGCACAGCGGAGGGCTAGATTCGGGTCGTTGAGCGAGTTAACTGGGCGCACGAGGCCTTGAATAGGAGCGTGTTGTCATGCGGCGTCCTACAGAGATACCAGACCGCGGGGGGAGGGGGCTGCAGGGTTTGGTAGAATGACTGGTGAATATCACCATCGATATGCATTCATTTTGGGCGGAAAGCTGATCACTAGACACTCGGGAGCAACGGACGCTTATTGACACCAATGTTAAACCCACAGTAGATGATGGGTGCCAAGCTCCATATTGGCGCTGCTTGCGGCTACGTTTTCTTAACCTTGTATTTGATTTGGCATATCAACACAAAGGACATTTTGACAAAAATTAAAATAATTTCTGAGCGTTGCCGAATGGTGGCGTTTGACATTGGTAAGTGTGTCAGGGGCGCAAGCGCAGGGGAGGCAAACACCTGTGGCCCGTTTGCGCACCAGCGGTGACATGCTCGTTACCGCCTGGCTGCATCGGTGTATGCAGTTCAGACAGTTATCGTGCCATGGCTATGGCGCACCCGCAGGCGCGACACGTGGGCGGAAGCACAGACTGTGACTCGTGGTGCATGACGTTGCTATGACAACAAAACTGGCCCGGATGGCTGAAACTACGTGCGCGACCGGTGTTGGGTCATGTATGCAGCGACAGATAACGACCACCTTTTGTGCGGGAGCTGGCTAACAGGCCGTTCAAATAGAACAATCCTGAAAGCGATGGGTGCAGCGCAGAGTCCGATTCGACCACGGAATCGGAAATACTTTCGGAGAGCTAGGATGGAATCGATAACTGTTTCGAGCTAGGCGAGTCGGGGTTGTAGAGAAGCCGCGCTCCTTGCATCGAATTTGCGGTAAGTCTACTGAAATGAAAGTGTACGTATCGATGGCGTAATCAGGACCGTGAAATTGCAACTAACGATACCTTTCTACACCGGCACTATTTTTCAAAGCAGCGGTAGGGCAGATATCTATTTAAATAGTACAACACTTAATGTTTTATTGTCTTATTAATTATTATCAACACATACGACATGTGCTCAACGCATTTAGCCCGTAGAACTCACCATAGCGGAGATGTTTTCACCGGAACTGACTCCATCTGAATCCATTCGGGAATAAATTCTTATTTCCCTGCGACAGAGTCAGATATTGCTTATAAGTGTGCTGTGCTGCTTAAAGTCAGATTGGAAGTTTAAGCGCCTTAAAAATAGACCCTGCCGAAGATGAGTGCAACACAAGTCTGGAGCAAGCTCGCGTCATGCATCGTACAGATTAATATTCTGAATGGTCTGACTGTGTCTTGGTCAAGGTTATCGTGTTTTTTAAAGTCTTTCCACCGTATAACGTGGAGGTTTTTATCGTCCAACAAAACAGCCAAGGATACGCATGCTATTACATACGCAACAACCAGAATGGTGGATGATTCCCCTCGCATTTACGTTCCGTCTATACGGACAAGTCAGATATGGCGGAATAACACACATGTTACTTGGCTCTGCAAAACGTGATCGGTTCTTGGCTGGCGTCGATAATCGCCAGAACGACGGCGATGTTTGCCAAGCTGTGTTTGCGCGGGACGTGATCTAACCCTGTTTCTCGATTTTACATTCTAACCTTGTCTACTGGTATCGCCGTTTAATTACGGTGAAATGTTGCCCGGGTCGACGGCTTTCCCTCTGTTCTTCCCCTCAGTCCCCTCGGTTTACCTATACCGATGCCACCGCCTTGGTCATCAGTATTGCGATCGGTGTCACGTCGGTGCTGCTCGGAAGCTTGCAGGAGTTTGGAAGTTCGAGAGTTCGGGAGTTAGGGGAGCATCGAGAATTCAGCCGATGGCGTAGCTGAACCTCGACCCCAGGTCCCCGGCCTCGTCGTCGTGCAGAGACCGGTCTGCGAGGATTCCTGCGGACACGCACGATCATTCGACTTCGCGAGAAGCAAGTTCGTATGCGAGAGCGGAGTTTCCGTTCGATTGTGACTTGATTTCTCTCGATCGGCACTGGCCATGCCATGACGATGGGAGGGCAGAAAGAGGTGAATGGTGAGGCAACAGTGCGGCAGTCATGGGAAACGTCTGCGCTGACGAGTCTGGCGCCGCGCAGAGACACATGTTTGTTGCAAACATCTCCGAAGTTTGCACAGGGCTCTGGGCAGGGGAGAGGGCTTCGGCCTTGCTCAGATGACGCCAACTCGAGGCTGCCGACCGCAGCTTATCTCGAAGACACGTGGCGTTGCTATGATTCAGGATTGAAACGATTAGTGAGGAATGCTGTGCTGATGATGAATGAGTCGTTTGAAAGAGAACAAACGCCTTCCTTGCCCACTTACGGAACGTTGTAATGCGATTTCGGTATGGATGTTGCTGACAGGACCTATACCTTAATCCCTTTCTCGAAGTGTAGTACGCCTAAAGTTACGTAATCCCTAGATCGGACTTCCTGGAATCCTCCCGGTCGCCTGGACCGTGCCGTAACCGGCTCTTGCCTGGCCTTACGTCACCGGCGGTCTGCTGGCGTGGGCGTGGGCTCCGGCGAGGCCGGACGCCTGCCGAGGAATGTGCACCGGTCCAGGCCGGACGCAGCTCGCGGAAGGTGCCTTTCGGTCCGCCAGCCGGTGACGTCACACCAGACCGGTGACGCCACACTCAGGGACGCTGGCGAATGGGCATGTAGTCGCTCTCACACTTGCCATAACTGTTCTTCACTTCTACGCCTTCGGCTGGGATGTCCAAGGTTGGCTTTTTGCTGCTCGTTTGCGTTTCCCCTCAGGGGTTCTGTCGGCATATCTGGCCGTAACACGGTCACGTTTCACGTTCATGTTATGCCTCCTGGTGTAAGCTAGAATACTTAAGTAGAGCCGTTCACTCGAGAATTGAAAAAGTCCGGAACGGCATCAGAAAACATAAAACGTTAATTCGAGTCTCTGAATTGCTCCTTCAGAGCCACCACCTGGGCTTGTTTGGTGTAGATCAAGGCCTTTTCGGCCAATAATGACCATCTCAGGGCTATGGGATGAAGGAGAGTGGATAACGATCTGGCAGAACTGCATACACTTCGAGGTCGATCTACCGAAACTTAGCCTGCAGAAGGATTCCCGTACGGGGTATCTGTAACTGTATCTTTGCACGCGGACCGGTCCCCACCGTGGACCACGAAGTCCGCTCATAGCTGGCGCATACAGCTTGGCCCCGAACAAACGGGGCGTCGCAGGGATGCAGAATACAGCGAGAATGCGGAAATAAAAACGAATATGGGTTCGTGGATTTTGCATGGACATTCCGCCGTACGTTTATAACGTCCCGAAAGTAAAAGTCAAGGCCCCACGTCTTCACGGCCGTTGTTGCGTTTGTTCAGGCATCATTGTACACTTGACAGCTCAAGTAACAAAAGCGTGGGAACCCGATGAAATTGAAACTAAAATTGGTTGGTGTCATTCATTAAACATTTGGTGTCACTTCGGAAGGGAACTCAGCACGCACTCCTCCGACGTCTCCCTTACGCTTGCCCTCGTGAGGAGCGCGAGGACTGGGTTGGAGACGTCCCTGGCGAGTGGGTGGCGAGCGGGGGCGACCGAACGCGCTGGACCGGCACGCTGACTGTACAGCCACAGCCCGGAGCGCGTGGGTGCCAAAGCCCGGCTCGCCAAACTGTGACATCAGCTCTGGGAAAGGGGGACGGGGCTGGGCGCGGCTGGCGTGCCGGCCCGCGTGGTGCACGAACCGCGGCACACAGTCCACTTGTGACGGGCCGGCGGTGCAGGGTGGTCGCGTGGAACGAAGGCCGCGCCGCCGCGCCTCGGTCTGACTGCAGCGAGTCTCGGTGGCTGGCGCCAGTCGGTCCGGATCGTCGCCCTGCTGTCCAGGCGGTATGTATGCACGTCTCACGTGCGGGGTCTTACGGTCTGCCGTCACGCGCCCCGCCCACAGCTCCGAATATGGGCCTCAAATAACATTCGTTATATGTGACCTCCGTGTTTGTGTGTCCGTCCGCTCGTGTTATCGCGCCGTGTCTTTCCACGCCAACGTTGTTTATGGGGGGCGCCGTCCGGGACGCATCGGGCAATCGGCACAAGTTTAGAACTGTAACCGATGACTCGATGTCACCGACTGACGCGTAGAAGAAACATATATCCGTCGGATGGGACGTGTGGTGATGTTATTTCGCGACAGTAGCGTGTCCAATGACCATGGCAGGCGCACGTGTGTTGCTCTCGTCCCTATTCTGAGGGAGTGGTGAGGTTTTGCTGTAAGGCCTTGCACGTTAATCACGTATTCCTGTCTGTCAATAACGTATTCCTGTACCCCTTTCTCCGGGGCACAGACCCGCCAAACGGGATGGGTTGAGTGAACCGCCGACACTGCCCCGCTCCCACACAGCACGGCGTGGCCATTCTAAGGCTATCGCTTGGGAAAGCGGCCCAGTTTTCCTCGCTGGTTACCACTCACGGGCCAGCGCCCTGACTGCCGCCGGCTTTGGCTGCTGGGTGGGGCTACAGGTCACATAAAACAAACCGATGGTGTATTCTGTTGTATTCAGAATACAAACCGAGGTTGTATTGCGTTGGCTGGGTTCGAGTCAGTGTCTCCAGTTTTGGCGTCAGCCATGCTCTAAACGCTGCTACGAGGGTGCACTGGAGGCCACCTGTTGGAGGAGTGCAACCTGCCGCTATCAGGAAGGGTAACGCTAGGGGCTGCATGGTACTGTCTGTTCGCTGCGCAGTGGCAGAGGCTGGATGACCACAGCCGGCTCTATCAGCGCGCAAGGACAGACGTTATAAACATCTCTGTGCTGCAGAGGGCAGTGTTGAGACATCTGGTATTATTTGTGTGCAAAGGGTGTGCGGTTCGGGGTCAGCGAGAGTCCATCTCCTTAATTTGCATGTCATCTTTAGCAGAGGATTCGGAAATGCTCATGTGTGCTATATCCTGTTACCAGGCAGCCGACGTCTGTCTGCACGGCTGAGTGGACGAGACAGTGAATGTGTTGGACCAACCGCCTTCCGGAAAACTGGCATCTTTCGCCAACACCTTAGGAGCCCCGCCGCTCCGCAGTGTGATTCGGCAACCGACCTCTCCGTTCGTCATCGGTGAACGTGTCCTGACGCCTCTGCTGGCGGTCTGTTGCAGAACGCGGCACCATGTCGGCCATGAACGAGACCACGTTTACGGTGCAAACGGGCGGCGACAACGACGCCATGCAGGTGCCCGACGGCATCGAGACGGTGGTGGTCAACGACAACGCCGAGCGCGTCATCGTGCCGGCTGGCGTCGAGGTCATCCGCCTGCAGATGCCGAAGGGCGGCGGCGGCGGTCAGCGAAGCCGCAGCCGCAGCCGCAGCCGCAGTCCCGACTGGAGCACGCGCGCCTCCAGCGGCCGCAGCGAAAGCCCCAGCTCCTACGGCGACATGATCGACGAGCTGGTGCGCGCCAAGCGGTCGACCGTCAGCGAGGCGGTGCAGGCGTCGCCGGCGGCCGTCAGCGAGGCCGTGCAGACGCCGCGCGCGCCGGCTAAGGTCGAGAAGTCGCTCTCGCTGCCGAGCGTGCCGGCCACGCCGCCCGGCTCGCGCACGGAGGGCACCGATGTGCCCGACTTCAGGCCGGCGGCACGGCCGCCGCCGCTGGCCGCGCCCGAGCGCGACGCCTTCGACGACCGCACGCTCGAGGTGGGCAGGAAGCGCGACATCTTCGACGACCGCACACTCGAGGTGGACAAGAAGCGCGTCATCGGACAGCAGCCGGCCGGCATCGGCAAGCCCGGACGCCGCGCCGGCGCCGGCCAACGGCAAGGCCGTGCGCTACGCCGGCGACGTGGAGAGCGAGCTGCGCGACCCGCTGGTCGGCCAGCGCAGCGTCAAGATGCGCCACCACGACTCGTTCGGCTGGCGCGAGGAGTTCGAACGCGTCGAGAGCGAGCAGAAGAAGCCGCTCGTGCAGAGGATGGGCCGCTGTCTGGCCGACGTGCTCTGCTGCTGGATGGGCGTGTGAAGCGCACCGGCGCGCCGGCCCTGTCTCGAGTCTCCACGTGGGATTCGGCGGGTGGGCGGACGTGCATTTCCACGAACCAGCGCTGACCTCGCATGATCCCAGCGCCAGCGGACCGTCGGGCCGGCGATAGCGCTGGCGCCCGGCCCACGGCCAATGGCAGGCGGCGAACGGCGATGCGCGGTGACGTCACGCACGGAGCTCGCCCACCCTACTCGCCGCTCTCAGGGGACTGTGCAGCGCGGAATTTAGACGGTAAACCCGGCGATCCCGGGACGGTCATTGGCGGAGGGCAGCGGAGGGCCGTCTGCTGCCGCGGTCATGTTTTGTATGTTATTTTCGATCGACAGCGCTGCTCGGCTCTGGCGGATTTCAATACTAATGACTGTTCAAGCTCAAGCGCGACTTGCCTCTTGTGAGTCGCGTTCCAGACACGGCATGTCATATTTTTGTACCGCATAACAAGCTCCATTAGTCAGTAAGCGCTTGATACAACTGTCTTGCTTTATTTTAAGCCCTGAGGCAACAACGGAGGTAGCTGGAGTGAAAGGCTGTAGTGCAAGTGATCGTCCTTTTGCGATACAGTTGCATACTGCTTTCGGCATTTACCTGATGAAACCATGTGGATGTGTTGTCTGGGATTTGCGCTACCAAGGATTTCTGTGGTAGTATTTAGCTGCATTTACACAGCTTGTGAGCTATCGTCATACGCTGTCAAGTGCATGCCATATTTTGCTGTCGTGCGTGAATGCCATGCTTTTCCTTTGTACGTTGTAGTTCCGCCAATATTAGGTGTCCAGCAACTATTAGCAGTAGTCTCAACACTGGACTGATATTCAGTCGCACTTAGCAATAAGCTTTCATCTTCGTCACTGAAAATATATGAGCTAAGTTTTCAACGTGGATGTATTCCTCACTTCATTTCGTCTCTTCAAACGCCAAATATGTAGCTTTTCTGGTCGTAGTTTTCCGCCCTTAAACAACTGCCTACACCGCCTGGCGGCAGTGTATCGGCCTGTCTGCCGCCTGTCGCCTGTCGACGGTCCCCGGATCCGAATGCTCAGCGGTGTACTTTTGCAAGGGGGGGGGGGGGCGGAGTAGCGAAATGACTAAATGTACCTGAAACGTACAAAAAACGGGCTTATCACCGAAGCTGGCCCGGTTTCCTCTCCAAGCTCGGGGGTAGAGCCTCCCAAATGAATGAAGATGTTCACGGTCTCCCGACTTCTGCTTTAGTTACGCCTTGCGATTATGATTCATAAGTTTGAGCTACCTCTTACATCAATGAAGAACATGGGCCTGCAGCAGATGACCATGTTCGTGGGTTATCACTTTTAGTGTCATGAAAGCTCGCCCCGCCCCGCAGTCCAAATCTGAAAACACTCCCGGCCCAGAAGAAAATTACTTTGAAAACAGGCCGCTTAGACCTGCAACCCAGTACTTTATCTCAGCTGTAAACTTATCTCACCATTAGCACATCTTGAATAACACAATAGGGATAGCAAGAACGTGCGCTCATCGCAATCCGAGCGAGCAAAATAATCCGCATTTCACGCGTGGCTTATTCCTTTCACGCACATGTATGATATATGCCAATTGATCGCTTAAGGACCAAGTTATGTTTTCACCCACAGCGGAAACATGGCTATGCATGAGAAAAACAGAATGCTGCACCAGAAAATTTGAACTGGTCTCGCTATTGCCGTTTGAAATGCCCCTCAGCGCATTAGATAGGTGCGAGAGGTTCAATCAGTTTGCTCTGAAAAATGACTAGGCTGATGCCTAACGTAACCTAACCTAGACCACAACCTGCACCCTCCAGCATTCATCCTTCATTCTTGACCGCATCAGAAAATGCTTCCACGTTGAAACAGAGGCGAAAAGTGATATTTTTACACTCATAGGGTGGGTTGCTTTTCGTGCGAACGATTCGTGATTAGCTTAAAACTTTGTCCATTTTTACGAATCGTTATGAAGCAAATGCCAACAGGCAAGGCTATCGGAAGCGACTATAACTGCCTGCCAACCAATGAACAGAAGCTTGCTACATAAAGGGCAGGAAGAAAACATTGCCACATTTCGTGAGGAAGTACACACGATAAAGACGCGAGAAAGTCAAATGTAAAGAAAGCGAGCGCCGCACGCTCACCTGAGCAAATGTGAAAGGTTTGAATGAGCTGTTTTCAGCACTAATTGATCAGCAGTAACCACTATTCGTCTGCAAAAATTTTCACCACGAACCCTTTGGGTTTTGACCTGTCGTCTCTGCTCATTCTGAGTCACTTGTTATGCTTTCATATTTCTAGGTGGGAGGGTGTGGGAGGGGGGGGGGGGCGTTCCTTTCATTGAGTATATGTACCAGTTTGAACGGTGATAACACAAGTTTTACTGACCGCTGCTTAGCTTTACATCACGTACTACTCATTTTTTGCAAATCCATACACGCGTTTTGCTACACAGCCTGATGCTAGTAAGTAACTGATCCCCTTGGCGTGCAGCCTAGGCAAGGTAATATGCCTTTAGGGTCCCTCTTCAAATAAAATTTGACTATTAAGCTCTCACAGCTCGCCAGAACTCACCAGTTTGCCAGCGATACCTGCCAAAATATTTCCGCTTTACGCGTGCTTTGCGAGCCTTTGGGCTCTGAAGTGGCAGCTCTAGCCAGCATGACACTGATCGGCGCGCTCAGGGACATGCTGGTCTGTTTACGACGGGGCGTGCCGCGATAAACTCGGCACGAAATTGCATCATTTGCACGACTGGTGCCGTGCGGCTGCCTCACCAGATCAGTTTCGGGCTGTGACGGCAAAAGCGGTGCTGCAGGTAGCGTCGCGGAGGGCATTCAGATATAAGTCAGGCTCAATCGACGCAGTTTATAAAACCTGCCTCGTGTTACTGAAGGTCATGTTCGCAGCGTTCTCGGCTTAAAAAAACAAGGGTCGTGAAACCCACCACTATTGCCAGGTCAGTGGACTGAGGGAGACGCGGCCCAACCCCCGTTTTCCGCCGACTCGACTCGCCCCTGCGGCGGCGTGCCGACCTGCGGAGAACCGTATACAAGAGCCGGGTATCGGGCTCCGCGGGTGATGTCGGCACTCCGCTCCAGCTCCCGCCAGACGGCCGGGAGCGGCGCGATCATCGGGCGTTGGTCTGTAGCGCTGCCGCCGCCCCTGGCCGCCGCTCGCGTGCCGGAAGCGCGACACTTCCGCCGGCAGCGCCCCGCCCCGCCGGCAGCCGTGAGCGCGCTCGCAAGCAGCGCAGACCGGCCGTGCTCACAGGTGAGTGGGGATGGGGCGCTGAGTGCACCGTCGGCAGCTGGGTGTGGTCCATCCTCCCCGCACAGAACTGCCGACGCAGCGTCGGCGAGTGACGGGCTGCTGGCTTACAACGGACTTTCGCCTGAAAGTCAACCAAACAGAAGACTGTGGAGACTTAGTGTCACAAAGATGCCGTTTTTCTCAGTGTTTACATTGTTGCCCACAACTACGTCCTTGTCCCACGGGACGCCATGGGACGCGCTGGCGCTATGGTCTGCTTAGGCCATCTTCATGTACCGTCTGCCACTGAATGCGAGCCACTTCCCTCTCTTACTTCAGTCCGGTGAAGCAACCTCGGAGTCTTTCTCCCCTCGCGGCGCAACATCACTAACTGCCCCCCATTATCTGCAACGGACTCGGTAGCCGTGAGTGCTCCCCGTGGTTTGTGCTAGACCGGGAACTGCTGTCTCGGTCACCTCGCGTGGGACGACAGACGCTCAGGCCACCGCGAGGAGGCCACGACCACGGCCGGTTGTGTTTATCTCCTTCGTTCCGCGACGCTTCTGAAACATGTCTGTCATCAGTTCGTCGTTTCGACGATCCATTAAATAGGCGCCGCGTGTGCGGCGCATTACGTCATCGCTGCCGTTTGAGTGATCACAATTGGCCCGCCCTGATCACCACGCGACACGACAATCAGTCGTGAGCGTGCCGCCGCAGTTTGTCAGAGCTGGCCAGCCCGTCGGGGATCGAGGCGCTCATAACACCACACGCCACGAGTAGGTCGAGCCACGACAGTACCGTCACCGACACAAGGTGTGCAGCATCCCGACCGCTCCAGCGCGAGAGGTCAGCTCCACCCCGGTAACGCGCCTCGAGAACCGCCGAGCCAGCGGCGGCGCTCCTTCTCCCTCGCATCAGCAGACGTGCCCCGTCACCGTGCCAGCGGCGTGTTCAGCGGCAGTGGCCCGGTGCGCCGACACATGACTCCCCTGACGTCACCGGCTGACCCCGGCGGTCACGAGGAGGCCCGCCGCGTCGCCGGCTGGCCCCAGTCCGGCAGACTCCAAATAAACGGCCCCGAAGGACGCGTCATGCCGCACCGCGGCTGGTGTCGGGCCGGCCGGGTGTGCACGGTTAGCGGTGCCGGGCCAGAGCGCAGGCCTCGTCACGGCCAGAGGGCCGCGGCTGCAGCGAGCTGGTGGTGCCGCTCAGTGAAGGCGGGCCGGTGAGCGACCGAGCTCGGTGAGTTGGTGACTGGGCTCGGTGAGAGAGCGGCTGGGCTCGGCGAATGAGCTAATTAACTTGGTGAGTGAGCGGCTGGGCTAGGCGAGTGAGAGGCTCGGTTCGATGAGTGAGTGGCTGGTCTCGGTGAGTGAACGACTGGGGTCGATGAGTAAGCGGCTAGGCTAGGCGAATGAGCTAATGGGCTTGGTGAGCGAGAGCCTAGGCTCGGTGAGTGAACCACTGAGTTCGGTGAGTGAGCGACTGACCTCGGCGAGTGAGCGGCTGGGCTCGACGGATGAGCTAATGGGTTTGATGAGTTGATGACTGGGCTCGGTGAGTGAGCAACGGAGCTCGGTGAGCGAACGAATGGATTCGGTGAGTGATCAACTGACCCCGATGAGAGAACGACAGGGCTCGACGAATGAGCCAATCGGCTTGCTGACTGAGAGTCTGGGCTCGATGAATGAACGACTGGGTTCGGTGAGCAGGCGACTAAGGCCGGTGAGTGGGTGACTGGTCTTGGTGAACGGACAACTAAACTTATTTGGTGAGATATATGAATAGGAGTTAGCTGCCTGTCATGTGAGTTGGAAGCGCAGCCAGTGCCGGCCGACTTCCAGTAATCTTACGGAATGTTTTTCTCATGGTGGTATCATATTTTAGACTTTGTGCAGAGTTCTGCCGAATCGAACCCAATGTCTTCAGATATGTTGAAGGGGGTCGAAGAAGTTGAGATCTTTAGACGACGGGAGGAAAAAAAGAGCTATTTATTGACTTCGACAATGCTTTCGATCTGAAAAATAGTGAAACCGTATAATGCTCAAATTGTTGGGGTTTTACCCATAAGCTTTCTGCAGCAGTTTTTACTTTGAAAGCATTCACTTCTACGTGGATGGTAGTTTGGCTCTATGTATCTTTAAACAGACGCCATAGCTCACAATTGTATGTGCTGGACGAGTGTCTTTTTACGTTCACTTACGTGACCACAGCGCTTCTTCGTCTCGTCTTAGTCTTTATTGTGTGACATTCAAAACTTGTGTGCCAATACCACAAATAACTCCAGATTCATCGCGAGCAGCAGCATTTTAATTTCTTAAACTTGTCCTATATGCAAATCAATAAAAGCAGCCGATGCTTTGTCGCCCGTGCCATAATCGCGTAGAAGAAGCCTGGCAATTTTATGCATGCGCAGCTAAGCAGCGATAGCCGTCCCGTGGCAGCTCCGCTGTGACCTCGCGCGCGCTTGCTGTGACTGGGGGAGAGGCGCGGGAGGATCGGCTGCCGCTGGCTGCGGAACGACGTGAGAAGCATATCGGTGGAGAGGTCACCTTGACCCAGCTGGTGTCACGCGTGCGGCGGAGAGGCGTGGCACATGCAGCGAAACTCCAGTTCAAAACAACTCCCACTGCACACACGCGACTGGTCTGGATCAGATTGCCAGCACGGCCTGATGTTCACTTTGCCTGATGTGAAGGCTCACTACCGCGGAACGGACGTCGTTGGTGTACGTGAACAAAAGGCTGCGTTGAGCGTCATGCTGGAAGGGTCACATTATGCCTTTTGCTGTGGGAAAATGGTTTGTACTAGGAATGATCCGATGCCAAATTCTTGCGAAATGCCATTACTGGCGACGCTTCTTTCCTTCAGGTTAAAAGCGCCGACAACCACAAATAAATAAATGAATATGCCGGGTCGCATTCAAGGGCTATTTCTTATGGCATACCTTTGCCTCAAGAAGTCAACTGACACTGCACAATGGCAAGTCAAAAATCACAATTAGTGGCAGCATCGAATTCTATGATTATGTCCTCCGACTCTAGCCCCAGCTTAGCACACTCCTCACGAGGCCTGTGCACAAACAATGGTGCCACCCTGGAGCAAGGCGAACGGGTTCCAGTGTCCACCCACGCCCCGATCTCATACACAAACCATTCCAACACACCGTCTGTTAGCTCTGTGAAAGTTGACTCACCATGACTCTTTCAGATAACGATGGCGAAGAGCGACGAAGGCGTCGTCGCGACGCCGGCCGCCGGTGGCGCCACCTTCCGTCTAGAGGAGGGTGCGTCGTTCGCGCTGCCCGATGGGTGCACGGTGACGGTGCACCAGGGGGCGCTGAAGCTGTCGGACGGGCAGCGTCTGCCGTTGCCATCGGCCGGCGGCAGCGTCACCATCGAGCGCCGCCTGCAGCGGCCCGACGGACGCTGGACGCGTGTGCGGCACACCATCCGACTGGCGGATGTCCTGCCGCCGAAGGACGCTCCTCCTGCGCACGGTACCCCGGGGGCTGCTCCTCCGGCGGATGCTCTTCCACCGGACGGAGCTCCGACGGACACCCCTCCGGCGAACGCTCCTTCTGCAGACGCTCCTCACACGGACGCTCCTCCCGCAGACGCTCCTCCGGCGGGCGCTCCTCCCACAGACGCCCCTTCGGCGGACGCTCTTCCGGCGGACGCCCCTCCGGCGGACGCTCCTCTGGAAGACGCTCCTCCTGCAGACGCTCCTCACACGGACGCTCTTCCAGCGGACGCTCCTCCCACAGACGCCCATTCGGCAGACACTCCTTCGGCGGACGCCCCATCGGCCCACGCTCTTCCGGCGGACGCTCCTCCGGCGGACACTCCTCCGGCGGACACTCCTCCGGCGGACGCTCCTCCTGCGGACACTCCTCCGGCGGACACTCCTCCGGCGGACACTCCTCCGACGGACGCCCCATCCGCGGACGCCCCATCCGCGGACGCTCTTCCGGCGGACACTCCCCCGGCGGACGCTCCTCCGGCGGACGCTCCTCCGGCGGACACTCCTCCGGCGGACACTCCTCCGACGGACGCCCCATCCGCGGACGCCCCATCCGCGGACGCTCCTCCGGCGGACGCTCCTCCGGCGGACGATGCATCGGCGGACGCTCCTCCGGCGGACGCGCCGGGCGGCAGCTGCACAGCCGACTCGCCGACGGAGCACGGCCGGTCTGAAGCTGACTCGGGAGGAGCTGAAGAGGTGCTGGCTCCTTTGGCAAGGGTCGGCGAAGATTCCCCCTTTTTGCCTGCTGAAAGTCAGCCTTCGCTCTTTGTACGTGAGGTCGGTGACCCGTCCTTCACCTCGCCTGAAGTCAGCGATACTACCTTGTCGAAGCCTGAGACTGGTGTCCCTTCTTCACCGACACTTCAGGATGAAGTACATGACGTACCCCACGAGAGCAGCGCGAGCTCCAGTTCTGAAGAGGTCACGTCAGCAGACGAGATGCAAGATGTAATGAAAATCGCGCCCCAACCAGAAACAATCCCTGAAGTTGGCCCCAATGCACCATGCTCAGAAGCAAGTGACCGAAAGCTTGCGTTGGCGCCTAAAGGTAGCAGCCCTCTAAATACGCAAGACGATGATGAAGAGGATTCGGAGAAATGTAACTCCCAGCATAGCAGTGCCACAGTATCTGGTCCGCACGTAGACCAACCTATTTCACTGACACACTATATCGGCATTCCTCAGTTTCCAGCAGATCTTCGCGGCACCGAAGACGAGGTGGTCAAACGGTCATCAGTCACCAGCCCAAATGAAAGCAACGAGCTTGTCCCTCTGTCGGAGCCCACCAATGGGGAGGCAGGAACAGCGCCAGGGTGCAGACCCAAACACACTGAGGAAGATCAGGAGTGCGGGCCCAGCCATGGAGTGGAGCCGGTGTCAGGCTGCGGAGGAACAGAAAATGGTGCGGGACATGGAGCACCTGACGAGCCAATCGAAGACACTTCTCAAGCTCTTGTGGAGGAATGCGAGAGCCAACCGAATGCAACCGGCCAGGTTGCCGATAAGAGCTGTGAACCAGTGCCAGCGCGTGATGGTCTCAGCCATGATGAAGCTCATCCCATGGAGCCAGAGGTTCTCGAGCAGAATCCAGACTTTGTGAAGAGCAAGACCAGCGGTCCGACTACTGAACCTGTTCTAAATTCTTCCGAGAAAGACTTTGATACCGTGGCTAGGAGCCATGGTGAAACCGAAACCGACACATCTGACCCAGGCGAGCGCAATGGTAACTTTTCTAAGGAAATGCAGGAAGAAAATAAGGACGTAGGAGATCAAAACGGCAGGCATTGGGACGATTGTCAAAAGCCTGCCAAAGCCCGGAGTCTGACACATCAGGACAGCCTACATCTCCCGAAGTATGTCCCACTGTCGCCAACTCGATCGAGCGCACGGGGAAAAGCTTTACCGGAGGCAAACGATCCCAAATCACCCGAACGTATTGACGAGGACGTTGGCGGCAAGCCCTCTGGAAATTCGGTAGATGTTGTGCTGGCGCCAATTCTGAAGAAACCGGGCTACGGGGTTTCAAGCAGCGACGACGCCAATGCAGCAAGTGGAAACTCGCTGGAAAAACCAGAAGAAGTGACATCGATGCAGCCTAAGCCATCTGAAACTGCCGGCGAGAAACTGATGTCTGATTTGGAGGAGCCCGAGCCTGTATGGGTACCAAAGGTTGTCAGCTTCTTCGAGTCGATTACCCCCAACAGGACCAAAATCGCAGCCGAGAGGGCACGAATGCGCAGGGGAGGTCGATCACCTGCAGCATCGCCCACTCGAGATGACGTTTTGTCCCCAGAACCAGAGCCAAGGCGCCCAGCTCCTCAACAAGAGCCCACAGATAAACTCAGTCCGCGAAGAGTCAACTTTGCCAAATCGGCAAAGAGGGTGTATATTGGCAGCAACCTGGAGCCTGACCAGATGGAGGATATTGCCATCCCGCCCCAGCAGGTCTCTCCCAAACATGACAGGCCACCCTGGGCGGAAATCGATTATGAGGGCGATGAAACGGTGGTCACATGCCAGCCCACGCGACTGGCACCAGTTACGGTCTACAGCCACCCCGTATTTGCAGGAGAGCCCAGAGCAAACCAGGTGACGTCATCCGAAACTTCTGAAAAGCCCAGGGCAAACCAGGTGGCGCCACGCGAGACTTCGGAAGACCCCAGGAAATGTGCAGCAGAGGACCTGGCTGCTAGTTTTGTCTCAGACACACCCGTCTCAGATCAGGAAAAAGCTGCCGTAGCCGATAAAAGTCCGGCTAAAGAGCGGGAAGAAAAGCCTGATGCCATCGAACCATGCTCAGCGGAGGAGGCTGCTTCGGCCGGCTCCTCCGAGGGCGTGGAGCGTGGAGCCGATGCGCCCTGCGCCGCGCTGGCTCCCGTCCCCAATCAGGACTCAGGCCCAGCAAGCGACCTGACCTTTGCCGAGTCGCCGCTGCAGCCGTCGTACGACCACTTGGACGACGTCCAGCCGCCGCACCCGCAGCAGGTACCCACTGAAGACGTCGCCCAGGCGGTGACGTCCGGCGGAGAGCCGGGGGATGAGAGTCGCGTGGGGCCCACCGACCCGTTCCTGCCGAAGTACTCTCCTGCTGACGAGGAGACCCGCGACAAGCCCACCAGCTGGACCCGCGAGTGCATGGACTTCTGCTGCTGCTGTTGGGCGCCCTGACGCACTCTTAGAAGGGGCGTTCAGGGCCCATGCCTACAACATGAGCAAGTACAGGCGACTCGTTGAGTGCGGATTTTTTCAAGGTAGTCTAGGTTGGTGATAGCACAGATCGAAACAGCGTTTAGCTCGCGGACCCGAGAGGTGACGATAGGGGGAAGAGATCGCCGGCTATGGCACCTAGCAATTGTGAGCTGCGTAAGGGCGAGATTCACCATACATTTCATGGCGACTGGGGTAGTGGGGTGTCAGCTGGTGATGGTGCTCTCGCCAGGCATGGAGAGGTTTGGTGTTAGATGAATGGTACGCCACGGCGAAGGGAATGGCTTTGATGGTAAATGTGCCGATTTACACCAGGCTTTCCCAGATATGTGATATGCCATACACGTTGTCATGCATCAAGCTTTTGAAGGCCTTGGAAGTATTCTAGATGTGGTCGCTCGACGTTCGCCGGCCGCTGCTGGGACCATTTCTTGCTCTACGCTATCTGCAGAGCTGAGATGGCGATAGATTGCCATCGCGTTGAAACAGCTGTTCTTACCAGTGCGCAGCCCGTTATTCAATGCTCCATTGTCACAGCTTAGTCCCTTCAAAGTGATTTAGCTTTCAAAATTACAACAAACTTCCCGCGGGCATGTGCTGAGAGATCTGACTGAATGGGTGAGCTCCGGCTTATGCTGAGGGTCATTGCAGAGGCTAAGTCACCGGGACCATCGAAATGGGTAGAATCTTTTGGTGGTCATGATTGGAGTGAGTGCTTGCATTCAGTGCTTTGAAGAACAAGGTTTGGCTTCGGCCAAGGCTTGCCAGGAGTCTGCTGAGGACTGTTGTAGCATCTGGTGAATACCTGTGAAGAGCCATGTGCTGTTTTTAGTGCTGGGTGTGTCGTATGCTTGTCGTCGCCGCCGATTTTAGGGATGTCATTTCTTGAGTCCTGTGACCGAATTCAGATGTGATGTCAAATGCTATTTTTTAATATATATCGTTTACTTGAGGCCAGACTCGTTCCTCTACGCGGAAGCACTGGTACCTACAAAGGCAGGTTGAAGAAAATAATTGATATTGATGCGTAGCTTTGAACTTGGACGGAGAGGTTCCGAGGGGGGGGGGGGGGTTGGAAGTGATTCGGAAATCCAACAAATCATTGCTAGAACAGAGTGGGGGTAGACTATTCATTTGAGCTTGTCTTTACTCATAGGCGGGGATGAATCGAGAAATTCGTTGGTAAGTCAACTCGAATAGAAATGTATAAACGGAACATGTTGAATGCGTTGCAGCTTAAATAACTTAGCAAAAAAGACCAACGGCGAAATATTGTATGGTTATCACATGGCTCTCTGGCGTGGGTCCTTATGACGTCAATCGAAGTAACGTCTTCTTGACTCACAACACGATCCTAAGCATTGAGGGCCGTGGCCGGAATCTGATCCGCCGGAGTGAAATTCAACAATCTCTTAGACATTTATCGGGCCTTTGCTCATTTTTCTCAGTTATCGTGAAAAACGGTGCATGCTAGTGCGCAAAATAACACGCTTACCATCGCGCCCATTTTACCTTTTGACCTCACATGTCTTTTCTTAGCCCGATGTCACAGAGGAATGTGTCGTGGTCTGATGAGTGCTCGCGGCTTACGATACATGCCGGGATACAAAGAATAATAATTGCGCGACGAATGCACAAACAGCAGAGGATTTCAATCGCTGTCAATGCAACCGAGGCGAAAAACCGTGGCATGCCAGGTCATTGACATTAAAAAGATAGTCCCAGCATTTTCATTGGGCTAATTTTGGGGGTCAGAGCCCACACTAAGCGGTGCTTGTTAGGTGAACCCTCACCCTACAATTCGATCATAAAATTCCAGCTCAACGGCTAAACGTTATGGCAAAAGTGTAACGTGCCGCTATGCTTGCCCCAGTCCGCCCCTCCTCCTGGCTTCACTTGACCTTGAGCGGCCACTGCCACCGGCCGGAGGTCATCTCAACCACGGGCAAATAGCAGGCACCAAAGTGACCAGAACCCACCTTGCACGTCACGGTTAGGTTGGGAGACAGGCTCTCTAACAGACTGAGCTATGGGGAGGGGGGGGGGGGGGTACAAATAGACGTACTTGCATCGTGAATATCAGTCGAAGGTTCTGTTCTAACTAAATATGACGGCAGCATTTTTGTTCGTGTTCTATTTTGCGTTCGCGCAACGTTTTTCAACATTAGTGGCAAGAATCCGTTTTCACCCAATGCTTTGTTTCCAGAAGGCGCAACTCCACGATTTCTAGGCAAGCGATTTCTTGGCCCTACCGAATGTCGGTTGGGGCTAACGGGCGGAGACACCTCCGATTTACTGAAAGTTGTCTCAATGTTGCTCGTGTAAACC